ATAAGCTGAGGCATCACAAGCCAGAGTAAGCTCAAGAGCAGAGTCAAAGTTAGTGAGACACTTCTCGGAAGTAAGGAGGTCTTTTGAGGCAGTAAAGGACTTAGTTTGAGCGACACACCATTTCCAGTCAACATCTTTTCTAAGCAACTGGTACAATGGGTGTAAGAGTGTTGACAGGTTAGGAAGGAACTTACTTATAGTAAGTAAGCATGCCAAGGTAAGACTTTAGCTTAGGCACTGAATTGGGTGTAGGGGCCTCTTTGACTGCACGGACCCCATCCGGCAGCTGAAAAATACCCGGGGCTGACGAGATACCGAACGGCAATCTCGTGTACTGAAACATCCCCGATGCGTGTTTATCACAACATACTTCTTAGAGTCATCCTCTAATGGCACCTGTTGGTACGCCTGACTCAGGTCTAATTTTGAAAAATTCTTTCCCTTGCTTAGCCTCGCAAAAAGGTCCTCGACCTTTGGAATCGGGTATCTGTCCAACTTTGAAACCGCATTGACAGTGATACTAAAATCACCACAGATACGGACAGTGTTCCCGTTTCAAGACAGCGACAATGGGAGCAGCCCACTCGGCAAACTCCACCGGTTCTATGGTACCCTCTTCCTGGAGGCGTTGCAGCTCTTTCTCTACATTTTCCCTCAATGCATAAGGAACAGAGCGTGCAGGGTTGAATCTAGGTAGTGTGTCAGGCTCAACATATATCTTAGCCTTAAAACCCTTCAGGGTCCCAAGGCCTTCCTGGAACACACCCTGATATGGGGTGGTATTCGTGTCAGTATTTCAAACGTCGATTTTGCCAAGGCATTTCCGTTTTGCCGCGGCAATTGCCCCAGCAAAACCTGGGCCGAAAAATCCGGGACATTTGCCGCGGCAAGAATAACTAGCTGGGCCATGTTCAATCGTGTCAGTATTCTTGTCGTTGCCGGGCCTTTTGCTGCGGCAAAAGTGCTCTTGCCTCGGCAAATTGCCATTTGCCGCGACAATTGAATTGCCCAGGCAAGGGGCCGGGCAGTACGTACCGCAACCCACCATTTGAGCATGCGCATTTGATCAAGATACCAGCGTATCCATGAAGGCAGAAACCTAGTTCTCTCTCCAGCCTCGGGGGCCAGCTCCCTGGCCGAATCTCTAGCTATGAAGCTGAGCCTAGCATGTGACCACCGCCCCCATCTAGTGTGCTCGATCCGCTCGCTGCTGCCACGCCAAATATTGTGCCGCGGCAAAAGGCCCGGCAACGACAAGAATACTGACACGATTGAACATGGCCCAGCTAGTTATTCTTGCCGCGGCAAATGTCCCGGATTTTTCGGCCCAGGTTTTGCCTGGGCAATTGCCGCGGCAAAACGGAAATGCCTTGGCAAAATCAACGTTTGAAATACTGACACGAATACCACCCCATACCCTGATACCTAGACAAGACTGAGTGTAGTGAGGAATTGTACACCTGGTTTATTATCTGGGTCCAGTCTAATTGAACATGACTAAGCCAATCCCTACCCAGAAGGGAAGGTCCAGAGCCACCCACAACAACTAGTGGTAATTCACACAATTGGCCATTGTAATCTACGTTTACATTGGTACAACCCACCACCCGGATGGTCTCTTTGAGGTAGGTCCGAAGCCTCACAGATGAAGATTGCAGGCTCCTTCCAGGCCACCGCTTCTTGAAGGACATCAAGGAGACTGACACACCTGTCCACCTCCATATCCATTACACAGTCATCTAGCTTGATCTTGACCATGATCGGAGGAGCGTCCGCTTTACTAGACTTGGCTTGGTTGAGAATTTGCAGGATAGCAGAATCATCTGAATCCTCTTCCTCACTCTCTTCGTCCTCTCTCTCCTCCTCATCCCTAACTTGACGAATAGGCTTAGACTTGCGTTTGGTCTTGGATGAGGAAGATCGACCCTTAGACTTACAGGCTCGCTGCATGTGGCCTCGCTTGTGCCAGTTGTGACACTCAATGTTTCTGTCCACCTTGCAGCTGGAGGATGTGTGCCCCTTGCGACCACAGCGGTAGCAAGTGAGGGGAGTATCTGAGGAGTGCCCAGCTGGAGATGCGCCTGAGGTGCTCGTCTTATGCACCTCCTGCGGGAGACGTGCAGAGGAACCGCTCTCTGCCTTGACTCCGAGTTCCCGCATACTCTGTGCAGCCGTTTCTGCAGAAAGCGCCAACTCCACGGCCTTCTGATACCCCCCACTTTCCACACGCACAGAAATACTGTGCATGCTGCAGAGCGTGGCTCTGCGGAAGAAGTCCGGGTCTTTCGTGGTAGAGCTATATAGAACTGCGCGAACACCGAACCGTACACAACAGATCGGCTCAAACGCTCCTGCCCATCATGCAGAGACACCTCAGACCTGGGACCATCGTCCACAGTGATCAGTGGGCTGCTTATTGGAACGTCCAGCAGCTGGCCCCAGTGGCCCAACACGGCACCGTCAACCACTCTTTGAACTTCGTCGACCCCGCGACTGGTGTTCACACCCAGAACGTCGAGTCGTACTGGAACCATGTGAAGACGAAGTTCAAGAGAATGAAGGGGCTTCACTCAGACATGGTTACGTCCTATATGGACGAATTCATGTGGCGCGAGAGACACGGAGCGTGTGCGACGGTTGTCCTGACCAACCTCTGCCGAGATATAGCCCTCCGCTACCCCCAGTGACTTGGATGTCCGTGCCATCCCCACAGTTGCAGCAGTTCACTTTCTTTTTCAACCACGTGTTTATAAAGTGGGGGTCGTCGGTACGCGGTGTGAATGGTGGGCGCTTACGGAAGCCGTTGCGCTTATGGTCCGTATAATAATATACTAGTAGGCGAATGCATGGCATTTTTGGCGAGCGGAAGCACGCTTACAATTGGGGTCTAAGCGTATGATCACTCTTGTGTGTGCACAAAACAGTGAGATGCATTGCACAGGACCAAGTAGGCCGAAACGACCCGAGCGCAGTAGACAATTCGAGTCGAGTCAAAAACAGTCAGTCGACTGCGCGAATCAGGCATAATCCGGCAATCTGATTGGTCTTGCAGGAATAGGGAACAAGTGGCAATGTAGAAAAATCTCTCGCTGGACTGTGCAGCAATACTCGATAGCTTCGGAGGTGTTGCGTTTCCCCTGATTCCGCACGATTCAGGCAGCATTATGAAAATGTTGAAATCCCTTTCGGATAAAAAGAAGCGCGTAATGCTGGAGCATGCGCAGTTGGACGACGTACGGGTACATTATATATAATTATATAGAAAAATCGCGCCGTTCGGACCACTAAGTTAGCTCGCTTCCGCTCGCCAATTACAGTTGATCCCTCGAAGCATGTCGTCCAATGTCGCGCCGAAGTTGCAGTATTCCGACAACGAGAATGAAACTTGAATCGTTCTACAATTTCCGAGGGAGTGGGCTTGAAGTGCTCCGCAACGATCTCCACATACGTCTTCTCTCCCGGCTTCTTCGGAGAGACAATGTTGCGGAGAGTCTTGTAGGTCGCTGCTCCCACGACCGTGAGCAGGACAGCAAGTTTCTTGTCGGCGTCGTCGATGCCATTCGCCGCGAAGAAATGCTCTAGGCGTTCGACGTATTGCAGCCACTCATCATTCGTTCCGTCGAACTCGTCCACTCGACCGAGAGTGCCGGCAGCCATATCCCGTCCTCGTCGCCAAAATATGTCGTGACCTCGTAGGTTCAACACGCACGTATTGACATATTGACAACACAGTCTAACAGTCTACACACAGTAGGAGAGTACGCTACTTATATAGCTAAAAATTGGAAACGGAAATGAAGTATAAGTGACGTCACGTCACGAGAGTATTTAATGACCAGTCAATGCATATCTATGACAATGTGTATATAGCTGCGTAACAGTATCCGCATTTAGAAACCAATCAGGCAATACAGATGAGGGTGTAGGTAATCGATGGGCTCAAGAGACAACTGATGTCAAGCTAGATCTTCAGGTGCCAGTTGACTAACTTTGACAGTCCCAAAGCTGACGTTCCTCGTGCTTGTCGAATGCTGCTGGAGGCGTCTCTTGTGTGCGATGTTTGGTTGCACGCCGTCCCGAGTTCGGTTTGTTGCCAGTGATTTGCTGAATTGCGGTGCACTCTCGCTTGTGGTGATGTAGTATAGTACAGAGCCCATTGAGGTCATACTTAGTTTTAAGAAAGCCACTCAAATTGGTTAACGTCACCTAAGGCTTGTGACCAGTGTTGCTCAACTCTAATGTCACCAATCTTATCCTTTGCCTTTTGACCTCGTTGATGTCAACAAGCAAAAGACAGGTAAGTCACTAGGTACCCTGTCCGTCCCATTCTAAGTACTACCGGACTTAGTGATTAGGAGTACATAATCAGGTTTACAGGTTCCTTACAGCATCAATGTAATATAGAGAAAATAATACCAACTTGCATGCCACTATAGTAGTACAACTGCCCAACTTACTCTCTTCACTCACCAGCTCCCACACACCCCACCAGCTCCTCAGGTGGATTCACTTGGGTTTTTTTGCAGCCTTCACACATGAAACAGAAGATATGTTTTGCCCTAATATTATGTGTATCAACTGCTCCACCTATACACTTTGACTTTACTCACTATGACTTCACACAGTGCTTCTCAAGTGTCCCAACCATCCCTTGCATCACTTTTTTTGTATATAGCTTTTGAAAGACGGTGGTACAGGTGCATGCCACTTGTACACTTTTACTCACCAGTAGCCTTCACATAAACAGACCAGTGACAGACATATTATTATGCAATGTTACCTCCGGGTACACAGTAAGCCACTATAGTGGTTTCCACGCAATTCCCCTATCAGATTGACAGCAAAACATCCAATTGAAGGTACAGGGGCACGTACCAGACTGACCGCAGCAAAGGCCATAGCAGACGAGAGCTTGGGAGGGATGTGGGGGTGGCTAACAACTTCTTTAGCTACCAAATTTTTACGACACAAAACTTACTGCGTTAAGACTGCAAGTTTTAGCGACTAATTCAGTATTTTTATGATATCAATATACCATATACAACTTTAATAGAAAAACTGTTCCTGATGATAACCTTTGTGTAATATAATTGGTATGCTTTCCTAGCTACATGCACTGACTATTGTCAAACTGAGAGAATTTGAACTGAGTTGAAAATTCGGACTCTGTCATGTAGTCTGTGTAGACTCCCTGGATGAGAGAGTCATGATTGCTAACCACCTCGTAGACCGTCCCTCCATTCTGGTTCCCACCAAATAGACATGTTCTTCTGTTGTCCCAAGTCTGGGGATTAATGTAAGATCAAATATATTTTATGAACTAAACATGCGGTCATAAAGTCCTATAGTGGTTTCAATGGCACATTTTCTGTTATAAAAAATTGCATTACCTTATATACTGTTAAAGAACGCGGTTCCTTCTACGCAAAATTGTATTTATCCTTTTGACCACTAACTAGTGAAAGAAACTCCGTTTTCTGAGACGCACTGTTTTTTGCCCGCAAGGCTATTGCTGTGAACTTGTATAATACACAGGTGACAGGAAATCATTTTCTTCATCTGAGGGTGCTGGGGTTTTATAAGCACAAAACAGTTATTGTACAATCTATAAACAGGCGAGGCTCTTCATTTGAGGGCATATTAGCAGTTGTAGACTTCTTTCCGCCCTCCCAAAAGTGCTCCATTTGCCTGCTAAGACCATTGAACTATTATTGCTAGAAACATGCTGCAAGCAACACAACAAAAGTTTCCCTGTGTATGATAACAAGTTGCTTCGTTTTTTGTCTCTTGCTGCAATAATTAGAGAAGGCTGTTAGCTGTTACTGTAAGTTGTCTTGTGTATGATTGGCTTTACTGCCCCTACTTCGAGCCACCTCTTTGGTTATGTGTACGAGAATATTAGCCTTGGACTTCGTGCACAGCAAGCAGGTCCAGCAGTAGTCTATTAGCTAATTGCACAAAAGATAAGGGGAAAACGGGAAAAGTACATCCATTGTCTGTATTTAAACCATGTTTTGTGTTAACGTTTTGCAGTGCATACCTTCCTCTCCTGCCAGGCAGGGAATCTCCTGACAGAGGTTGGTGAGACAAGGGTCACCAACACCAGGTTCCCAGTCAGTGGTGTGTTTCTCAGGTCACCAGTGAACTCTTGGGTTGATATTGAAACATTCCAGAACTGACCTAATGTGGTATAATAATGCTTGTGACAATGGCCACCAGAATTACAGTAAAGTGAGACTGACATTCAAGGGGTAACACTTGTGAGAACTCAAAGTTCTCCCATTACAATTTCCAACAATACAGTACAGTTCTAAGGGGCTACTGTGTGCATTCCACACACACACACCCTTCATACCATTATAATAATAATCTTTTATCTAGCAGCTACTATTCAACACTATACTTTGTGCATAATGTACACGAAGCAGTCAGTCCTTACCACTCCTCATTTTCCAGTTTTATTTATTTCACACTGTTGGTTGTTATAGCATTGTCCAATTCTAGATGTTGCTACTTTTGGGTGGCTCTGTGAGAGTATTATACCCCATACCCAGGCAGATATGACGTAAATTATCAATATGGCATGTACGTACTCTGATTAGTGGTATATACTTGTCCTATGATACTTCTTTGTATATTGGCTTGACACACAATGACATTGGCTGTAAACCACAAGATGGAGACTTTAACTTTTAGTTGGACGACTTCCAAAGAGTACCAGATTGTTTGCAAATATGGGGGAGGGGAAAGGGAAGGTCACATCTAGAGGATATGTTTACTTTCTAGTTGGCCTATATCCAAGTGATTTACATGGGAAATGGAAGATCGCCTGGTGAGTCAAACAAAACTAGATTGTTGTCTCAAACATTTTCTGGGGAACTGGAGGGTATTACTGGTGTGTCAGTAAAGGTGTCTGGGAAGTGAGACAGACAACAGTATAACATCAGCATTTACATACATTGGTCCCTCCCATTGCTCTGTGTGTGGTAATGCCCTAGTGCTATGGAGTAGGCCATTCCACATGAGCATGCTATTGCAGTATGTACATAATATTAACATACCGAGAAGGCCGTGAGATGTGTCCCTGAGGTTGTGGCCCCTCATCACTTCAAAACGAATCATCTCAACGCCGTTTCTTGTCTCGCACACAACCTCCATTTCTAGGTCCAAATCCCCACAGTTCGGAACACCCACAACTACTCTATTGTCTGCAGCACTAACAGTCACTCCTCCCTTGTTGTATGCGTTGCTGATAGTCTCTCTGTTGGCGGTAGTCACGCAGCCATTTCTATCAACTAGTATGTTGATGCAGTCATTAGCATTGTCCACCGCCCGGATGGCAATTTGGTCTATGATGTGGAGTTGTCTAGTCTCGCCCGGTAGAGGGCTGCGTTCAGAGTAGTGAGCGTTGACGGACACGCACTCGTCAGAGATAAAGTTAAAGAACTGGTCTGCAACTCCTCTGATTTCGTAGCACAAGTGGCCGGCAGAGGCTGGCAGGGGAACTGTGAACAGTGGGTCTCCTATCACAGTATCTGCATGGGAACAAGAACACATGTATATACAGGGAGAATTGGATAGAGCTTTAGTGCATGCAGAAAGAATGCGCTTCTCAATATGCTACATACAAACATGTTTGACAAGCTTTTTCGTAATGACTAAAATGTGTGTTGATTAACAAATTCCTTACTGTATGAATATTTGCCACGTGAAAACATGTGCAGCTAATAGTAAAATCTATCTTTGCCAGATTATGTGTAAGCAGTGTATTACACAGGTGGAAGAAAGATGATGGATACAAATATAGCCAATCGTGAAGAAGATGAACAAACAACAGATACCAACGTCTTCCAGCAGAGCATACATACAAAGATACACCTTGCATAACATACTTACGTAGATGTAAACATACCTTCCACAATAATTCCGGGTGGTAGTGATGGTGGTGTCGCTATTCTCTCTAAAATTGTGACGCCAACTCTGTCACTCCCAATCTGGAGACCTCCCGGACCAGTGGGGAAACTGTCGCCACTGGAGAGCGCAACACTGAAGCTCTCTCCATCATCCGACAGACTGTCCTCAACGGCTGAGAACGGAAAGCAGACGGGACTGGTAGAGCTCCGCTGTAGCTGTCCATTTTGGACAGTGATCGGCGAGAAATCCTCAGCTGGAATAATATTAGGGATTAGGTTTTTTTGTGTAGCTATAATTATAGCACGAATTTATTCCAGTGGAACCTTCCTTATAGTGAACATGTAGTGAAAACCCTGCCAAATATAAAAAACACCCCATGTATGAAAAATAAATGGCCGCTTCCCTAGTAGGAAGGTTCCACTGTTATAAGGTACTAGCTGCTAACACAGACTCAGCTAATTAATTAATGAAGGGATGGTAAATTAATGAAGGGGTAGTATGTTAATGAAGGGGTAGCACATACGTCCAGCTGATCCTGGGAGTGCGGTTAGGAGAAAGTTCACAACACGGGCCGTTACAGTGTCCTTTGACACACAGACATCAATGGAGTCACCTTCAAACAAACTGCGACTTGTAGTACCGTCAATACCCAGAGTAACAACTGTTTAGAAAGAAAGGACAACGATATTATTTGCTAAAGATAGTATCCAGTCAAACAAAGCATGACTGCTATATTATATGAATGCTCCCTGCTATATTATGTGTATGATTGATTTTGTGAACCCAATCACAGCCACTATCGAGAAAATGTTTTTTTTTTAGAGTAAGTGCACACTGTATGAAACACAAATGCAAATGCAACATTCTAGTAGTATTTCAAGTCCTTTGCCTAAGCATGCACATGCACATAAGTGTAAAGTAGTCCTATCATAATGTTATAGAAAGCCATGTGTCATTAGAACGCATAAGTGCTCTTGTTGCATATATAGAACTAACAGTCATTGTCCTTGACTGTAACTCTTGCAGAAGAGTAGTAAGTGACACCGTTCACAGTTCCTCCGACACTGATATTACTGGCAGACGGCAAGCTAAGTGTGAGAGTGACAAACTCGTCGTCCTCGAGAGCAGTCTGATCATCACGTAGGTCAAGAGCTATTGCCTCTCTGTTGTTTCCATTGGGAATGAATGTGACGTTGCTGGCTAAGTCAGAAGGTATGGCTGATGGTATGATGAATTGAGAAGGGGAGCCTACACAGCAAGAGAGAGAGAGAGAGAAGAGGAATGGGGGGAAGAAAGAGAACAAAGGAAGCAGGTAAGGAACGGAGGAAAGAATAGGGCAGTTACGTTTTCACCTAGGCCTTCTGGCTTAAGGTACATGATAAACTGCCTGGCATGGGATGTAAAGTGCTGGCTTACGTATGTATGTGGACTACAAGCTAGGGTGAACATGTGAGTATTTAAGTGTGCTTGGGCACATGTTCAAATGGCATCCTGCATATGCCTCACATACAGTTTATTTAAGGCTACACACATGATACAATCTTTTGCTTACTTGGCTTGGCAGCGGTCATTTCGACTCTAAAGGCAGGGCCAGAATCGATATTCCTTCCAACTTGAACCAATGCCAAGTTGGGGCCATTCTCAAAAAAGGTGTACTCCTGGTCTAAGAATCCAACAATAATTACGCCTGCAGAAAAGTTGATTAATGCCCTAATACCATTCATCACACATTGTCTCAGCCTATAGTTACAGTGCTCAACATTAAAACAGTAGGTTGTGCACTTTTTCACTTTTGGTCAGTTTTGTCAGCCATACTAAGTGCCAGACACACACATGATAATAATTATATCAACATGATCCCCAATCTTTGGTGATTGATAATGATAAGGCATCACCAGACTTTCACGTGACACAAATAGCGGAAGAAGAGACAAAGCTTAGGCACAGCATTTCTACAAGCCAGCCAGTTAAGGCAGCAACAGCACACCCTAGCCAGTCAACTTTGGGCAAAGTGTAAGTCAGACGCACCCGCACCATTTCTGCACCGCTGAGCAAAACAGCGATTTCAGAGGTCCTAAAACTTTAGGCACGAGAGAACTGTGTTTATGGGAGTTAAGCTCCCAGACTTCATGAATCACAAGCTAATGTATTGGAGTTACCGTACCTATTAACAGCTTCGGTTAAACCTATGTTCTTTACATAATTATGCAGGGTGTGTTTTTAAGTATATACCGAATCCTTCATCATCCTCAATGATCAATTGAGCATTACTACCAAACACCACTCTCCCATCAGAGACAGCGGCCAGAGATAGTGTTGCAACTTCATCTGGTTCCCCAAATCGAGTGTCGTCTACTGGAGTGAGGAGGAAACTTCTGCTTTGGGGACTGTTGCTGGCCGTGAAATTGACTTTAAAGACATCATTCACGGGAGTGGATGGTGACAGGAATGCAAATGGTGCTCCAGGAGTCAAATCTTTGATGAGAGAGATGCAGTATAAGAGTACCATAATTGCACCCCCTTTACTCTTTGTAATGCAATAGCTAACATATACGAGTGCTCCGCCTAGAGAGCTGTGTCATCATCGTGGTATATACATATAATACTTTTTGGGACAAAGCTTATGCAGGTACGTAAGAAGCAAAAAGATTTGAAGTTGTGTCGAGGATGGATGTACATAGTCAAACACTTTGCACAGAAGGAATTAAAAATGAGCTGAGGTAAAGACTACTTACAGTAACTGATTAAGACCAAAAGCACTTAGGTGTAAACCCTTGGGTGAACTGCGCATGCGTGGTACCGCTAATTGATTGGCTGGGAAATGTGAGCTGGTGAAGAGTCTGACACGGGCTAGCTACACTAGTAGATAGCATGAGAGGGTGGATACACGTCATTAGTTGTGACTTCTTGTGCCTCCAGGGTGCAAAGAGTGAGCGTATCAGATTGAGGTAAACCCAGTGCGATTTTGCATACTGGCCTTATCACGGCATATCTCACGAACGTATAGTTGTTTGCAGAAATTGCCATGTTATTTTTCAGCTCACGTACTCAGGTGGACTAAGGCACGGGTCCACAATATGCACAGATATAGCCATGAAACTTTGGTTTGCTTTTATCATTTATAGTCACACCTTGGATTATAGCAAAGGGTTCCATTTGGAAGTGCAATTGTTTTTTGGTAGTATGACCTTAATTTTTCATATTGAAAGCTATCGCGCAAACAGAGAGCGGGTGATGAAAGATCACTTTCAGAATGCATATACCTGTCTACACCCCTCTAACGTTCTTGTTTGAGTTGATTTTTGATTGCAAGTCCAATTTCCACTCTAACATAGAATCTAAATGCGGCCTTGAGTTTACGGACCACTGTTCAGGGTGTGCGAGGTAAATGTACGTTTACGCGTGCATTTTCGGTAAAAATAGAGGAAAAAACGAACGATTCAAAGAAATACTGAAGTTTGCTATGCAGGCCTCACTAAGATCCATTAAAACCTATCTTTCTGCAGCATAATATGGCAAATAAGTAGAAAAAAGGCTCGTCTTCAGGGGTGCTAGAATTGCAGATTGTCCGTATCTCCCCGTTCGGGCGCGGCATCATGCGCTATTGCAATACACGCCTGCGCGCAGCAGGGACATAACGCACGCACGTGATTAGTGCCAGCTCAGCTAGCTCGTCATGCACGCGACTCCTGCGGCCTAGCTCGCGAGATGACATGCATGAGCCGTGACACGCGCACCCCGACTACTGTACACTGCTTCGCGCACAGGGGCATCACGAAGCGCTGGCGGTCACACCCTTCCTAGCCACCTAAAACCATCCTCTGAGAATGATCTGTCTTCACAACAACACGAATACGAATGCACTAAATTCGCAGAGACTGCCACGACGTCTGTGGCTCACGAATGGAGCGTCCAACTACCACCACAGGACCTATCGGAATCACAGTCTAGACACGATGTGACCTCGCTATTTAGCTATATCGGCCACCGCTGGCGCGGCACCGCTCTGTGCACAATGTACGTGCGTCTCTGAGGTTGCAGGTGTGGCAATAGTTCTCCGCGTATAATAATCATAAAAAAACACAACAAACAAAAACCATGACAACTAAAATAAAACAAAAAAATAAACATAAAAAAGAAAATAACAATATAAACCAATATATAGCCACATCCTCCTCAGCGAGACTCACTCGGTGAAAGAAGAGGATTAGACAAAACCGCATAATCTACATTCGGTCTGGTTCCCGCCCAGTGGAGACACAAACCGTGAACCGCT